GGGCTGGGTTGTCGAAGTGTTTATAACTGCAGCGTACTGATTCGAAGGACTTCAGCGCATGCCGAAGCTGAAGATTTTGCATTTCTTTCTCTCCAAACTCAAGTTCTTTGCAGAAGAGCACTATTGCGATCATGATCAAAACCTTGGTCTGCCCGTCTGTGAATCCAACTGAGTGGTCTTCGACCGCGCGGGAGCCATCTCGATGTGGAAACTTGCACTGAATGCTTTCCATCGAGCATAGATAGCCCTGCTTCAGGAACTCTGGAAAGTGAATGCTGAATTGCTGATTCGAAGGAAAATCTGATCAGGGTGATGCAAATGGTCAAAACATATTTGAGAACTAATGCATGGTAATTATAAACAAACTCATCCAAACTTTGGACCACCGGACAGCCGTTCTTGGCATCTTTGGAGATGTCAAAGCACTTCAAAGGCAAACAGAATTGATCCACATCTGGAATAAGCTGCAAATGAGCTTTCCGAGAGAACGTATTCAATGCAGGGACATAGGTGTCCAAAGCCTTCGAACAACTGAGAACAAAGGCCATTCAGCAACAAATGATTGTCCATTCTCTACATCACTCAATCTTAAGCATCCCACATCATCCAGAACAGAGATATCCTGGACTCGCTCTGAAATATGATCTCCAAGGTTCTTCATGGCGGTCACCTTAGTTGTGCTCAACTCGGCTGCGGCAATGTGCATTTGATCTGAAGCCCACTTGCAGCCAGTTGACCGTTTCAAAATACGCCAGCAGTTGGCCAATGGGATCGCACTCAGGCACTTCACCATCAGAAGCTTCATGTGCACTCATGGCTAACCCTCACAACAGCCTGACCTGACAGTCAAAAATACCTGCAAATAAGGTGTTCTTTCACATGTGATGTACGAAGTGAAGCAATTCATGCGCAGCAAACAAATTCTTGAAGTGAAGTCACGGATGCTTTTCATGTTTTTTCAACCCCGACGACCTCATTGCTCTTTCAGTTGGCGCCATCGCCGTTGCGATGGACAATCCCCTATATGTGGCCTTTCGATTCAATCGCGATTGCGATGGAAGACCACTTGCAAACAGTGCGGCTTTGGTGGCACCGGTCGTGCCGCCCATTGGAAATCATGATGGTTCAGCTCTTCCACATTGTTGATATTGTTGAGGAAGGACAAATGTGTTGCTTGACCAACATCTGTATCCTCGGAGCGGGCCAAAAGGGTCTCGTACCAATTGATCCCGCGCCTCAGCGAAGGAAAATCCCTCTTCAGTGCCACAGCCAAGCGTTTGATCTCATCCTTCCTCTCCGGTTCAAATACTGGTTTGGCCAACAGGTCGGAGGATTTGGCCAGCTCCAAAAAGCGCTTCGATTTGCCAAGTAGGGAGCCTGGCAAAACCAAGATAGGTACTTGTGACAAACTGCTGCTCGAAAGCTCTGACTTCACCAAGCAGAACACATCATCCATTGCCACCTGGTCATCATGGGAACGGAGATGTGTTGGTAGCCGCTCCACTTTTTCAAACTGAACGGGCATCCGTGACCTCTTCATGAAAGTGAAGCAGTGTGGTACCGGGGTTTGAACTTTCGATGCGTCATGCTCATCGTGCTTGCGGACCTTGTAGCAGTTCTTCAGCGTAACATCGTTGGGAACCAAAGACGTCCACTTCCTGACCTTGCATGTGTTCAATAGTCTGAGACTGACTGAGGTTGGGGACAACAACATCAACATCACTTCAAATCACAACCAAACCATGACAGAGTCACTGCTGATACCAGCTCGACTTCAAAGTCTTGATTCCTTGCTGCAAACATCTTTGTCATTCTGTTTTCCAGCACCCTCTTTACATCTGCAGGAGTTTGGATGTCGGCTGCGCACGACAATGCTCTCTTGCAATACGCTAAGCAGCCATCGACATCCTCATGAGTATGTCCGACTTCCAAGTGCCCTTGTGTCGTGCTTTCGAAGGCACATTGAGCTAATGTGCTGCAGATTTTACCACACCACTGGTTCTTCATTTCCTTGACTGTACTATCTGCCTGAATCCACAGCCTGAAGTGGTTTGAGCAGAGCTTACAACCCAGAAACAATAAAGCGATTCAAAACACTCTGCCATTAATTGAATTTTATGAAGTCAGCCAGCCAAGCGACTCCTTTGGGAAGGGCACGTTGCGCCGACGTGTCAACGTGTAAACCTTCTGGAGAGATCTCATGACCTGAATCTTGAGGAGGGGTTTCAATCATATTTGATCTCTCTCTCTCTCTCTCTACACCGCAGCTTTCAGCCAAGTAGCACACTCCCACTGCCAGTTGGAGCCAGCACTCTGCCCCTCGTCGCAAATATAGAAGTAGGTAGCAAATCCGTGGCATATGACTGCTGTCAGCGTCAATGAGACTCCTTGGTTCCAGAGCAATTGGGCTGCAATAGTATGACCACAGTCACCAACAGTTGCAAAACAATGTATAAACAAACTATAATCTATAATCCAATGAATGTCCAATGATTTCAATGCCCTTAAAATGAAACAAGTTACATAGAATCTATCCATCACAAGCAAGCTTCTTTTGCACAGCTCGTAGACGGCCCGTTTGGGCGATCTTTTAAGAGGAAACACTGGAAGGCATAGCTTACTTTTGTCATAGCTGTCAACGATGAGGGTTAAAAGATCGCCAACCGTCTGGCTCCTTTGACGCGCACACCAGTAGACCTCTCTGTTTTTTCCACTGGGATTCATAGTGCTTCATGAGCTGGTAGCAAAGGGTTGAGTGCAAAGAGAACTCCTTGGATGGAGTCAATATGCAATCGGACTCAATATGAGTGATGAAGCCACACTTCAACTCAGCTTGAGACCTTTGCCTCGCGGATTTGTGTCTTCAATGCAGAGCACGTCATACACAAAGAATGTTCAGATGCATGCCTGAAGCGAAGGCAAGCCTTCCAAGACTGCGCAACTGTGTAAAAAGTGCTTCGAGAAGATGGAGGCTGATTGCCATTTCGTGCCCATGCGACATACATCATGTACAAGCCACTGTAAGTGTTTGGAGGCAGCTCCCTCACCGGCAACTTGGAGAGATCCCTTTCCTCAAGGAGGATCTCCCG